TTAGTCTGCTAGAGTTATAGAATGGTACCAGGTATACGTACTCCCATCTTCTGAATATCATCCTCTATTTCTTTCTGCCTGGATGGCGCCAGCTCTGGTGCAGCAGGAAAGCCAACATATTTGGCGACACCTGCCAGAATTGAAACCTCTTTGTTGTAGGCTGTTTGTTGCAAGATCTGCTGCGACCTCCGTTCTGGGAAGGGTATACTGAAACTTGGTACTGACGAATCGGCTTTGAATCTGTCTCGCTGGATCCGGTAGAAATGCTCGCTGAGGCGTTCCAGATGTCTCTCTCGAATATCCCTGACTGTTTGAAAATATTGGCTGTGTATCTGACTCCGTTCAGCGACAGCCTTGTTCTTCAGGGCTCCGATCTTGTAGACCAGCAGCTTTTGCTCGATCTCATATTTCTCGTCCCGATATTTCTGGACCACTTCCACCTGGCGAATTAATTCAGGATGTGCTGGCTTGGGTTCCGACAAGAGCTGCAGTTCATGATTTAGGGCGGCAATTCTTTCATCATAGAGGCGGTCTCTCAATGTCGCAAAGTGTCTCTCGAGTGCAGTCAGGGCTTCCATGGCTGCCATACGCTTTGATTGCTCCTCTTCGCTCTTTAGTGCAGCCTCGAGATCGTTATCATCAGCGACTTCTGAATCTTCTGCATGTGCAGCGTCCTCTTCGTCTTCATGTTGTAGTTCCTGGATGACTGGGTCTTTTGCCTTCCTGCGGGGCCTGCTTTTGCCTTTATCCTTGGAGTCTTCACTGCTATCTGCCTTTTCAACTTCTTTCGGTAATTCATCTGGCTCCACTACTTCCTCTTCGTCGTGCTCTGGCGGCTCCCCGACTTCGGGTTCAATTGTATTTTCCCGTAAATGATGGCTGTCATTCTCCTCGGCGTCGGTCTCTGGTTCAGACTTTTCATCCTCTGTCTCGACGGAGCCTGTCCGTCGTCTCTGTGATCTGGGGGCCTCTTCGACATCTGATTCACTTTCTTCCCTTTTGCGCTTATTCGGGGAAGCCGCAGGATCAACCGCAGCTACCTCCGGGGCTTCTTCATCTGCATCATGCCCCTCACTGAGGCCTTCCTCATGATCTGACTCGTGATGGGAAGAGATCGGGGACGAGACGGGACTTTCTGTGAAGCTCTCGATCTCCGGTCGCATGTCAATGTCTTGTCTCTGGGATAGTTTGCTTGGGCTGATCTCAGGGGGCTTTTTCCTGGCGAGATTTTCTGGGGTAGCCTGGAGACGTTCAGTCTCGGCTTCAGAATCCACATCGGCCGCGACAGCAGCTTCGATGTCTTCTTCTTCACCATCTTCGAGGTCATCGTCCAACTCGCTGAGGCTGCTGGAACGATCATCATCGGAGAGGGGTGTGTCCTTGGCTGCGTAGGCAACGGCAGTATTGGAGAGAGCCAGGAGTGAGTCCGCCGCTGAGTCCATGGTTGTAACAACCAGGACTTCTGTAGGATTTAGATCGGTTGGAGAGGATAACAGGCGCTCGGGATCGGTCAACGGGGTATTCTAGAGCTGGAGAAATCGTGGATTGAGGTCGCCTAGGGTAGGTATCTATGGTCAGCGCGAACAGAAGAACTGCGCGTCGATCATAATGCCAGAAATGCATATACTCGCAGGTTATTGACATACAATATATTGGTGAACGACTCGCAGTCACAATAGCATGGTGGTTATCTTCTCTTCTCTTGCGCTCGTTCTCAGCAGCAGCATGGGCGCACCGGTCACCGGGTCCGAGGGCTTCTTCGTTGGGTGGTGGCTTTGACAGATCTCAATCTTCTGGATGGGACGAGGGCTGTGAGAGCACTGGCAAGCTTTTATGACTTCAAGCGACAGTCGAACACTTCAGGTGGGCGAAAGTGGGATGGTGTGAGGAACTGTCAGAGGAGAATTGCCAGCGGGGCGGGGGCTTCTGTAGCCTTCAGGGAGAACCTGCAGGGGAGAAACACAATTGGGACGATCAATGCCGACGTCGTCTATCGATATAAGACAAAAAGAGCTGGTATACTGAAGAGGGTACAAATGGAAGTCTGGCAAAGTCGCAGGTTACAAAATGCAGGGAACAGCAGGCGTGTTGGCGTCGGTGGAGAAACGCAGCGTAGCCCCCAAAAGTTACATAGGCATGGCTGGCATGGATACGTTGGTAACAAGGGACACACAAGGGGAGCAAAAGTCTGGGTGCGGGCGGTTTGGCGGCCGTGGCTGGCTTGCCCTTGAATCATGGGGCTCGGGACATTGGGTGGGCGATGTCATAGGCACGAATCAGGCGCAATCGGCTAGCGTCGGAGTTAGTGTTGCTGCACTTCGATTTATCTCCATTTTCGATTGCCTTGCCCTGAGAAATTTTTGTGGCTTCGATTAGACCGCAAGAGATTCTGCGACCACCGTGCAGTCTCGAGAGAAATGCCCGAACTGAGCAATTGACTTGACGTGACGGACCCGTAAACATGGCAAAGTCAGAGAAACACAAGGCTAAGGCGCAAGCCTCGCCTTCAACCACAGGTACAAGCAAATTGGCAGCTAAAGAGGAAGCAGTCGATCCTGCCCTCGCTTCCCTATTTGCTTCAAGTGTAAGACGCACGATCAACAGCCCTGGAGTGAGGCTAACATACTCGTATTAGTCGGGACCAGTCAAGGTACAGCCCAGAGTTTCGAGCCTAGCGCAAACTGCTTCTGCGCAAAGACCGCCGAGGCCAGAACAAGAGGGGACATCCTCCTCTGACTCCGAGTCCCCCGAAAACAGTGACGGCAACAACGACTTGGAAGCCTCAGACGAGCCCTCTGATGACGAATCGTCGACGTCGGAGCAGGAAGCTACAGTCACAGTCGAGAAGCCTCGTAAACGCAAGCGCGCCACCGACGATGATGATCTCGAGCAAACATATTTCAAGCGGCTAGAGTTGGAAGAGGACAGGGAAAACCGCAAGAGAGAACCAGTCCAAACGGGCGACGATGACGCCGAAGAAAGCTCGAGCGAAGGCGACGCATCCTCTTCCGACTCTGACGAGGATTCACTGAGCGAACCCTCTGAGATCGAAGTGACCCCGAAACATGAGGTCTTTGACAAGAAGCTCAAGGACCAAGACAAATTCAACAGAACCGTGTTCTTGGGGAACGTTTCCACTCAAGCTATCAAATCCAAGTCGGCAAAAAGAGAACTGACGAGACATCTACGCTCTGTATTGAAGACACCAGTTGATGGAAAGAGGCCTGGAAAACTCGAGTCGGTCCGGTTCCGATCCACGGCCTACGCGTCTGGACAGGGCCCAAAGAAAGCTACATATGCCAAGAAGGAACTCATGGACGCGACCACCGTCAGCACAAACGCTTATGCAGTCTTCACCACCGACATTGCTGCGGAGTATGTGGCGAAGAAGCTCAACGGAACTGTTGTGCTTGACCGCCACTTGAGAGTCGATTACCTGGCTAAACCCTCGGCGATTGACCACAAGCGATGCGTGTTTATCGGGAACTTGAGCTTTGTCAACGAAGAGGCACCCCCACCCGACAACGAGGAAGATCCTCAGAAGAGACGACGGCCGACGGCTAAAGAGCCCGCCGATGCAGAAGAAGGTCTGTGGCGAGCATTCAGCAAAGCCGGACAAGTTGAAAGCGTGCGTGTGGTACGAGACCAAGAGACGCGCGTCGGCAAGGGATTCGCCTACGTCCAGTTCAAGGATGAGAACAGCGTCGAGGCCGCACTGCTCATGAACGACAAGAAATTCCCGCCGATGCTGCCGCGGAAACTTCGCGTCATGCGCGCCAGGAAGATGCAGATCAAGCGCCCCACCCCCAATTCAAGAGGGGCTCTGGCCAAGGACAGGAGACACAAAGGGTGGGCGAACGGCAACGGCAACGGTGCCATGAGAGGGAAAGATGACGGGAGGCCGAAACGCCCATTGATCTTCGAAGGTCACCGCGCTTCAAGCACGGGTACCGCCGGCAAAGGAAAGGGGAGCGGATTGGGCAGCCGGGACAGAAAGAGGAAAAGACCAGTATCCAAAAGCGCTCAACGAAGTGCCCAGTACAAGGCGGCAAAGGCGAGGAAACAAAGACTTGGAGGAGGGAAATGAAAACCTCGTTATGATATGAGCCCCCGAGGGCCTGATAGCTTTCAAGATTAAGAGAAGGGGGATAGAGCAAGGAGAAGCGTGTCTGAACCGCCATTACGACTACCTGCTGCTGGTGCCACAAAGAAGATGATCCAGTGATACCCATTTTCATATATATTTTAGCCGGTCCATCCCCGTCCCTCATCAGCCTCCAATTTACTTTCTTCACTCGCTGCTCACAGTTGACCAAATATCTTCAACGTGGGAGGAACGACGCCAGTGTGCATCTCACCAGCTTCATGATGGGTTGGTTGGAGGAATAGCGAATAGCCCCCGTAAGGACAGAAGCTCAAGGCTGTCGACCTCCTCCGCGTGCCTGTAAGCTCTGACACGCCCAGTGTGCTATATTTCATCGTAACCTCTTACCTGGATCGCCACTGTACGACCTTCAAGATTCGAGTTTATGACCATCTCACGCCAGAGATACGTCTGTACGTGATGAAGGTGTGTGTACATCTTTGAGCCCAGGGTTATAAGCGACTAGCTGGGTGCCACTGAAACGGGTGTATTTGAAACACCCTGAAAAGTGAGAAACTCACCATAAGATGGAGTGGAAGATGACGGGCTCGAGTCCTTCTGTGTTTCGAGAGTGGCCGGATCCGGGGACATGCATGCACTCTCGGAATAGATGGTCTTGCTGTGACAATGTACCACAAGATCCTGTCCCAAAGACTAGTAGGGGACGATACCTGGGTCATACAAGAATGAAGCTGATGAGGAGTATTGAACATCCCCCAGCTACCGCGTCAGACTCAGTTTCGCATAAACGACTTGCCGGGCTCAACGAAGCCAATCCATCACACCCTCAATATCGGGGGGGAGCCCATTGAGAACCGGGTCAAAGTCTCTTCTCTTACTCATCTCTTTCGTCATTTCATCGAAGTGCCAGGACTCCAACTCCCCGTCTCGCTCTCTCACACTCCGTCTTCATCTTCTGCTCTTCGACATCAGTCCACTTCACCGAGATATCATCCCACTTTTTGATCTTGAACTCCCGTTTGAACTGGGCTTGAAGATTTTGCAGCCGCAGAAGGGACCGCATGTCACCAGTCCCACTGTAGAGGATAAGCAGTGTCCGATCTGGAAGGTTGGCAAAAATTCGATAAATACGTCGAACGGTTTGACGCATGATGTCTCTGAGGTGTTCTGCTTGGTCGTTTGGAAGGGCCGCGTCTGGAGTCGAGGAGGATGTAGGTGTGGGAAAGATGTCACTGGGAAGGGTATTCCACCCTCGCGCGGATTCGAGGTCGCGGAGTCGAGCCCAAATGAAGTCAGCACCGCCCGGCGGAATAGCCTGATCGAGCCCTTGGGTCTTCGCACCTCCATCATGGCTCGTACTGTCCACTTCAGCAGTATTTTTGCTACCATCTTTTGTAAACGTCCTTTCATGCGAATCTCCAAGAGCCGCCCTCAGCACGCCCTGGACAATCTCGTCATCATTCGAACAACCGATTTTGTATGTTGCGTCTCGTCCAAGTCCTCTTTCTGGAGTCCCGTACTCCACCATGGCTGTGGTCTTCAAAACAACCTCTCCGTTGGCGTCCATCTTTAGCGTGCCTCCAATCCTGCGAAATATGCTTTCACCGTTGGCCTCCAAAGTCCCCCATGTAGGTCCCTTCTCGCATTTCAGTTTTACCAGATCCAACACCGCTCTGGCGTCTTCGACACTGTCATGCCCGCTCATCCCGCCCTTTTGTATTTCGCGTTTTAGATAGCGGTTCGCTAGGAATTTCAGGGATGAGCGCAAAGGCAGACCGCGCGGATGTGGATAGATGATTGAGGTGTCGACTACAAACGGATGGGTCATCTTCAGCGCGTTGAGATCGGATTCAAGACTGTGGCCGAGCAGGATTGTATCCTCTCGTAAGATGCTGAGCAACTCTTTCTGGATGTCTCCCAGCGTTGTTGTAACATCTTCAAGGATTTTCTCCGTTATTCCAGAGAATTGTGTAAAGTAGTCTTGGATGGCTAGCGCCGGCTTGACATATCTGTCCAGCACTGTCCTGCCGGTCCAGTCAAGCAGAGAGATCCGCGCAAGGGAATGTTTTCCATCGCACGTCAGGACCATCTCACAATCCAGAGCGTAGGGTTTTAGACCTTGTGTGAGGAAATCGTGGGCCTGGAGATGGGAAGAAGAGAGTATACGAGGCTTGAAGACCGATACATGGGTGTCAACCCAGCCAGAGCAATGAGACTGGCCTGTCTTCTCTCTTCGTTCGTTCTCCAGTTGTGCATCACTCGAATCCGTAAATGCCGCAGGATGAATCGGATATTCTGCTTCTCGTAGTTCATCGACTGAGTGGATGAAGTCTGCAATGGGAGTACGAATCCCATGGGAAGCCTTGTCGTCCTTGCTATTCTTCAATTTCTGCTTGGCAGCCTCCGGAAAGGGCGCGATGAGCATGCCCTGAAGCGGGGAGTGCACTCTGCCTGTGCGTGAATCTCCGGGTGCACGTACTTCGATAATGTGGTGTAGGAGACGATCTGTTAAGTTTTGATCAGGAGAGAGATGGGTCGACGGCAAATTCAGAGCTACTTGTGATCGTGAATGATTGGTTGGAGCATCGTTTGAGGCTGAACTGCAGTCTTCGGGAGTTGGATCAGGACTTGATATTGGCTTCCCAGGCTGATTGATGGTGGATGTCATGCTTTCTTCAGTTCTGCCATTCCATAGTTCCGCATCCCTCAGCATCGTTTCATCAAGGGCAGGAACCATCAAGACCACCACCTTCTTGATCTGCTTAGCGTTCCTCACAGCCAGCCAGGTTGGTGCAGTCCCGTCCGCCAAAATGTAAAGGACGAGGTCTTGTAACGCTTTGAGATCGACACGTTCAGGTCTGGATCCGGAGAAGCTGATGCTGGGGTCGCCATTCGGTTCTCGTTCGATCTTCCGTCTTTTCTTCCGGGACGACTTGGATTCAGCCACAGCCCATTCTTGTGAGACGGGCGTTTCTGCACTTTCGCCGTTCATACTGTTAGATTTTGTGTTGTGAACAAGGGTCGCATTAGGAGCATCAAGGGATTCAATATCGTCATGAATCTGTTCAGTGCCCAGGTCAGAGTGCGACAAGCCAGCTTCTGCTGCTTTTCGCTTGTCACTCTCCACCATTTCACCTGGGGGGTTGACGAGATAAATAATATGAAAGAGGTACAATGAACTTAGCCGGAGCCAATGAAGTAACGAAGGATCGTGAAAGGATGAAGCGACTTGATTTGCGGACCAGATGCAGCCTTGGCAGGAAGTGGCCGCCGCTTTATCACAAGAAGAAACCACATTCTGCTTTGCTAAAGGGGGCTGTCTATACTTGAAGTTCCTTGTAACCCAACAGAATGAGAGGGTTCACAACGCGTACCTAGCCAGTGCGGCTACGCGACATCATTCCAAGACAGACAGTGACACCCTTCTTCTGATGGTCAGAACGGCAAAAAACTTATCCCAGAACAGCTCAACCTACTGGTCTGTGATAAGGGAAACTCGCCCTTTGCAGGGTTGGTTTTTCTCGGCCGGTTATAATACAGAATTTATACTACATGGTTGATGTTGTCGAGCTCCTATTGCCTCTAACCGATGTTAGATTGACCTGGTAGGACCGAAATCTCGAAGGGAGGAGGCTCGGAGGGAGGAATCGAGGTCCTGATGCCCACTAACCCGGAGTTAGTTTTGACCTGACAGGATCTAGATGTGCCGTAACCGTGACTCGAACTCGTGGATTTTGGATTCGGATTCGCCCTTGTTGTGGAAGGGGGTCTTTGCGTGACAGAATTTAGAAAGAGAAAACATATATACCAGTGATTTCTGGGGGGATTTTGTACCGGTACCGGTACCTCTCTGACTTGCGGTCTCCGCTATCGACTTGTGTCACCTGCCTCCTTCCCCCCTATATCTTACACGGAAAGGGTTCGAATTCTCCCAGAGCTTTACCAGCAATCAGAGATCCATTGGACTCGAGTCGTTAGCCGTCCAGAGTGGTACAAGGTCGGAAAGAAGCAGCAGTTATGATGTTAGTTCTCTGTTTTATACAAACCAATACCATGGTAAGCGCTTTTGTTCCCAGCAGAAATCTTTGTCTATTTCATCACAAACATAAACCCCCTATGTCTCCGCCAGTTGTCACTCGCAATTACCCTGTGAGTGAAGCAAGGGGTTTGCAAGATTAGTCCACTCTCAGAGTCCTTGCACCCTTTCTAGCCCCAGTCTTCCTCTTCTTCTTGTGACCCTTTTCAAAGGCAGTAGCACTTTGATGGTCTCGGCCCACATTATCCAGAGGCTTGACTTTGTAAATGCGAATGATCCAGTTCTCACTGGTAAAGGCTTCCTCGAGCGTGCTCAATTCCGGGCCCTGCGCGGGAAGAGATGAACCTCGGACGCGATCTTGCGCCTGGCCTGCTGGGAACAGGTTGTTGTAGTTGTAATACGACATTTTGTACCTGTGGCGCGGGTCAGTCACTGGGGATTTTGGACAGAAAGAATGGTACGTACATGAGAGAATTCTTCATGGTGGGCGTGGCTTCTTCATCGACTCGGTATTCGCCGCGAGCAGTGAAGTAATCTCGCTCTCTCACCTCTTCAGGCCAGATACCCTCGGCGATTCTTACCATCCACAGGAACTTGTTGATATCGTCACCACTGTATCCCAATAGACCTCCGAAAACAACCAGAACATAATCAACGTCGTGCTGACGAAGGATGGGGTAGCTGACTTCCTCTCGAGAGCTCATGGCCTTTCCAACAGTCGCAATATGCGTGTTGTTCCAAGTGTTATTGTCCACTAATGTCGGTCGGTCGGCCATACCTCCAATCTGATATCCATAATCCCACCATGACATGATCTTTGCATCTTGGGGTGTGTTTTGCCTCAACCAGTAGTAAGCTTCTCGGTAGTCGTCGATAATGTGTTGAGAGCCATCCGGTAACCGTGAGGCCAAAACGACTGAAGGTGATGAGTAGGCATTCGAGGTAACCCACGTGCAGTGAGCGACAAACAGAAGGAGGAAACCAGTGACCATTGACGTGATCATCGACTTCGACACAATGGAATAGATGCCAACGAGAGGGTTTCTGGTGGACCGTAGTGACGGGTTGGCGGCGATTTTGCTTGCCTTGACAGACCCGTTGCTCCCATCATTTGCATCTCCAGAGGGTGACGGGATGTAGAGGTAGGTGTCTAATATATGTGAAAGAGCAAGGGCAGCAGCACAGCACACCACCGGTGTCAGGGTAAGCATGAGTCGAACCATAACTCCGGCAAAGTAGCTGGCAAGGACCGCATAAATAACGACAAAGACATGCTCATCTTTCAGATTACGGAAGCACATGTAGACTCCCGCAGGGAATAGCCAGATGAGCATGTTGAGGTCGAAGAAGAATGCAGGCCAAGCGGTGGGTTGATGTTCCGAGACGGATGCGATGATCGGGATATGTATTTTTGCATACCCTGTGTCCCAGAGAGAATAGAATCGACCGCTCCAGGGTGCAATGACACCAGAGACAGTGAGAGTGACGAGAGCCAACAGCATCACGGCAAAGATAGTTCCACCCAAGGCAACAAGCAGTGTCTGAAACTGTTTGCCTGGGAGCTGCTCCCGCAGGAAATTGAAGAAGCCAACCAATTGCAACAAACCAAAAATGCCCAACGCAGCCATATGATCACTGCTCCTGACGGGGAGGAATCCCACAAACGGAACCTGCATGCTTGCCAGTGTCCCGAGAGCATACCAGGTGGTGTAGCTGATGTACAGTCTGGAACTGTATCGACCCATCAAGATGAGGACGAAAGCATGAAGAGGTATCAAGTTGGTGATGAAAACGTATCCACCCCATGCAGAGACCATGTAGCCGTAGAACAAGGCAGCCAGAGCTCCCCACATGATAGACCCGTTTTTGACAGCCTTGATCCAGAGAAAGAATGTGAAGACCAGAAGAAAAATAGCAATGGCCTCGTTGTCATAACTCCCGGCAACAGATCTTGAGATGTAACCTGGAGTGATCCCCATAAAAGCAGCAGCCAAAAGACCTGCAGATGGCGAAGAAGACATTTCGGAGGTCAAGAGGTACATTGCGAGTGCTGTAAGGCCAGAGAAGCCCGGAGCGAGGAGGACGCAGATGTTCCGTATGTCGACAGGAAGGGACAAAAGCCGGAGGATGTGGTAGATAACACCAGATGTTACCATCAGACCTGGATAGAGCGTTCCGCCAGTGACTCGACCGAGGGGGTGCCATGTTCCTTATAACCTATTAGTATATCCAATCTCTTCTCGCAGGGTGGGTGGTAAGCGCACGGTCGTCGAACCAGTCCCAGAAGCTGTAAAAGCCATTCTTCACCAAATATTTGGTGGCACGGAAATTAAACCAGGGATCGACTGTTGAAGAGTGTCAGGAGCAAGCTCGTTCAGGAGACGACACTTTTGTTTCGTTTGGCAAGCAAGATATTCAGGATGATGAGGAAGCGGACAAGTAGTCACTGACACTCGTGGATAATGCTTTCGAAACCTGAGCAACGTAGTCAGTGAGCTGCTTCCAAAGTATTGTGATAGCATGAGTTCGAGCCTCGTACGTACGAATTACACTGAACAAACGGGCTGACACTGCGGCGGCCGCAATGGTCAGGAGAATAATAACTCGAAGGAGACCCCGGGTGTTTTTGCTGGTACTTCCACGGAGGAAAGGGTCAAGAGGCGTGGAGACCGCCATGCCGGCCACGGGAGAACAGCAAACAAGATGAACGAAGAAAGAGACTTGCTGGAAAAGCTGTGGTTGCGCTACAGAAAGAAGTGTCTTTGATGTCGCTCCATTGCGCATACGTCTCCAAAAGCCCTTTTCGGACCATTGCGTTGCCGCCCTAGAGACTTGGTCGGTTTAATCTTGGCCGAAAATCCGGAACTGGAATTTCAATGTTCCGTCGAGGAGATCATATGGACTCATACAAATGTGTGCACGTACAAGAATTCGGCACATACCAAGATACCTCGCAGTGCACACCGATCCTGGGTAGGGTCGTGGTACTTTTGTACCTCGTACTCGATGTCCGGTACTTGTACGAGTAGAGTCGATAACGATAAATCGATCTCTGCTTTCTGAGCTCCCTGTCTTGGCGACTCAGGGAGGGTCGAAGAGTTTGGACCGCGTTCTTACTTGTCTTCCAACCATTGTGACCTTGACCATTTGGCATCTCCGCCATCTCCGCCATATCAGAGAACGAAGAGCTATCGGGCCTCCCTTTCAGGTAATGTGTGTCCACGAGGCGTCCCACCCACGCCCAAGGTCTCCGATCAGCTGACTCATAATAAAGCCAAGCAATAAGGCCGGAGCGTTGGTCCGCTAGTAGCCTTCCAAGTTCTGCATATCCGAAGTCATAAACCACCCCCTTGGCACAACATCTGCCTTGGCCGATCAACGTCGTGCAGATGTAATTCTGCATAATTTCAGTGGCCCTCTTTACCTATTGCCCAGCTAAGCCAAGTGGCAGAGGCAACTGAACTTACCAATCACCTGTGCTTTTCGGTGTTCGGGCTCCAAAAAACCTCCAGTCAGCCTCACAAACCCGTCGCTTGATAGCGTCCGACTAGGGTGCTATTGGTACTCACCGTTTGCCGACCTCGTTCTGTGTTGTTTAGGACATCTGTGGATTCTACAATTTGTTTTTCATTGGTTCACAATCGAGAAGCAGGCCAGTTCATATCCTTGTTTTGGCCGTTGTTGCTTGGTCTTGCTTGGGCTTGCTTAGCTGAGCCTTTCCCTGTGGGCGCCAGGGGCCACCAAGAGCGCCTTGAGCACGTGCCCCGGTCGGTTTTCTGGCCCGTCATAAGCTTCCACGGATGCCGGTACGTGGTAATTCCGTGAGATACAATTTCGAGTATGTAAGCCACTCGGCTGCCTGTGCGACAAGAACGAGACCCAGATCATCATACGACCTGAGTGGGTTTTGTGATTGAGCCCAGCAAGAACACCAAATACTTCAAGCAATTACCAACTTCTGTATGCTTCTACCAGCTGTTGTTTGATGGATGCTTGTGATTCTGATGGCGAGGTTAAGGTGCCGGCATTCCTCGTGGACGACTTGGGAGTGGAAGTTTTTGACAACACAAGGCTCTACCTCGCTATGCAACCATGCTACAATGGCCCGTGGCAAGTAAACAAGCGAGGCCAAAGCAGGTTCCGAGTGTTCCGGCCTGCTCAGAAAGCAAATCAAACTGTCTGCATTCGACGATCTGTTGGCCGGCGCTGGTTTCCTGTCCACCTTCATTCTTATAAGTCCCCTTCGATCATCTAATCATGTCTCGTCGACCATCTTATCCTGCTTCCGCGATCATCTTATCATGCGTTCCTTTTTGTTCTTCGCAGCGCTTCCCATACATTGGGTGACTGCATTCTCTTTCAATGCCTATGACTTGGGATTTCGTGGCATATATCCCCGCCAGCATTTTCACTCCGTTGATCTTGAGGCGCCGGCGCCCAGGATAACACAATGGGATTCCAGGTGTGACTCTGGGAACATCTTCCTCACTCCCAGGGGACCCTTCGTCAACGGCGCGGCACGTGGTCCAGTCATTCTAGATGCGAGGGGTAACTTGGTCTGGATGGAGCACGATCAATTCGAGCAGGCCATGAACTTCAATGTACAAAAGTACAAGGGCGAGGACTACTTGACCTTCTGGACGAAAACCAAGAAGAAACGTCACTCGAAGCATTCCAAAAAGTCATACGTGCTGGTACGGCCTGTCATTTCTCTGGCCCTCTAAATGCATCACTGACCTTCTAGCTTAACTCTTCTTACGAAGTTGTCCATCGGGTACACCCCCATGGTGCTGGTCTCAAGGCGGACTCTCATGAGTTTCGCATCACTCCGCAAGGCACTGCACTTATAACGATACACCATAAACACCAAGCAGACTGCACGGAGTTGGGGTTGGGCAAGAGCTGCTGGGTTCAGGACGGACAATTCCAAGAAATCGATATCGAGACGGGCGATCTACTTTTTGAATGGAAAGCCACAGACCATATCCGTATGAGCGATGTATTTAGCAGCCCTTCTCGCAAGGATGGATATGGAAAATCGAAAAAGGACGCCTTTGATTTTTTCCACATCAACAGCGTCGACAAGACAGATTCGGGGGATTACCTCATCTCAGGCCGTTACATGCACGCCGTATTGTGCATCAGTTCGAAGACAGGCGAAATCTTGTGGCAGCTCGGCGGCAAGAACAATCACTTTGAAGACCTCAACGGGGCCACCGATTTCGCCTGGCAACACCATGTGACGTGGCAGGGCAACAACACGATATCGCTTTTCGACAACCACGCCAACAACGTCTTTCACAACCCCACCGCACACAGCAAGGGCATGCTGATCCACCTTGACATGGAGAAGATGACTGCCACCCTCCTGCAGGCGTTCGTCCACCCAGACAAGATTCTCAATGTGTCCCAGGGCTCTGTGCAAGTGCTTCCGGAGAGCGGCAACGTACTCGTTGGATTCGGCAACTCGCCCACCTACGTCGAGTACTCGGCCGAGGGCAAGATGCTCTGCAACGCACACTTTGCACCCCACCTCGTATTTGAGATCATCGACTTCGGGCTGGTAAAATCGTACCGCGTGTTCAAGCATCCGTGGGTGGGGAGACCCAAAACAGTCCCGGATGTGAAGGTGAAGCGGGGAAAGGTATATGTGAGTTGGAATGGAGCGACGGAGGTTACGGGATGGAGGCTGGAGACGGCCAGGGCGGTAGAGGCCAAGGATCACGAGTTTGTCACAATGCAAGAAGCGAAACGCGACGGGTTCGAGACGAGCTTTGCGCTCCGAAAGAACCACAGATACGTGAGGGTCGCGGCCTTGGACGCATCGCATGGTGTGATGGCATACTCGGCGGTGGTCAAGACGCCTTCGCCTTCTGTGAGGATTTCCCCCAAGCAATTCTTACCATTTCCCGTTTGTTTCCACTTTGGTTGCTCAAAAAGCTGACTCTGCTTTCCCCAGCTCGCATTCTGGTCCATCTTCTTCCTGGTCTTCGGCTGCATGGTCTTGGGCTTCGGCTTCCTGGGCCTCGTTTTCCTGTACGGCAAATTCCCAGAACTTCCGCGTCCTCCAAAGCTGTCTGGCCTCAGAGCCCGCCTGGGCGCCGCCGTGGCAGGCAATTATCGCGAGCATAACCCCGAGTCCGAGCCTCTGTTGTTGAACGACAGAGATCCCTGAGCCGCACCGCCCCGTGTTGGGTTTTGTACAATAATAACGCCCCCCGTCTCTGGGGCTTTCTTTCCGTGCCATCTATCCTAATGTCGTCTAAACGTCTTCTAGCGAGCGAGCATCGGACAAAAGTTGGACTTTTCTCAGATCGACATTTCTACTGTTGAAACGACCTTGCACCTCTGAACGGGGGGGAGAAGAACCCCTTTCTCTTCCTCTCTGTATCTACTCTTCCTTCACCCCGCAGTACCTGGACACGCATCGATGAAACGGCCATTTCTACCGAGGAAAGCAAAGACGAGTGGGGAGGAAACGGCAAATGCACAAAGGGAGAATGGGAGGAGTATGGAGGCCCTCCGAGCGCAATTTTCTTGCCCCGATCACCCTTGGGTGGGAGCAGACCTGAAACGAGATTCAAGAAGCGACCACGAGGATGTTCCGGTAATGTTGTTTAGATTGATGATTCTGTGGCGAGGATCTACTCGTTGGGACAGAATGGGGGAGTCTCTCTCGAGTGAGTCTGTAGAATATTCTCTTGAAGCGCCGACCGGTTGTGTGGAATGTATGATATGGTCTGGTGTGGTCCCAAGGCACGCACCATCGTCCCATGTTTTCCGCAGACCCCCCCTTTCTTTCTCGTATTACTTGATATGTTACTTGATTTGGCAAAGAGAATTCATAATAATAATGGCCCCCATCCATGTACCCGCTCACACGCTGTCGGTCAGCTTAAAGATCGGCAGGATCCACGCCGGCGTTCTCGGCACCCAGTGTTACCGAGTACGAGCATACTCTGTCTGGAGGTATGTCCGTACTCGTATACAAGGTACAAGAGCGGCTACGGCGGAAACCGCAAACGTCGGAGACCGTGTCTACTCCGGAGGTACATATGTATCTATGCAGATGTCTCCTTGCAACTCGCGTGCCGTGTATCCACTTCTTATCTTACCGAACCAAGCTTCCCCAAACATAAGCCATGGCAAAAGGAGTAAATGGACACAACTTTTGTAATACTGAGTAGTAGATGCTCCACCGTCAGCCAGCACTCCCCGAATCCCCAACTTCATTGGAACAGACCTCCAAGTCACTGTGAACATCACTCGGTGGGTAGGGTGGTAGACAAGCAGGGCGGCCAGCCGTGCCAGCCTCCTGTACGGAGCCAACAGAGCCGATGCCACTTGTGCGGGCTACCGCACGATGGCCAACACTGATGAGGCCGTTGCGTTGTGAGTAGCGCGCAGCCTCAGCCGATTTCGTCGTCGAATACAGAGTTTCCTTTCTCCTTTCCGTCAGACACACGTCCTTCAAGGTCTTGCACGAGTTGAGATTTCCAGTAACCAGAGCATGGGAATTCTTGGTACTTCTCCGAGAGGAAGCCTGTGCCTTTCTGTCGCGTAGGTGTCTGTGCGCAGATATCGACGTTGGGACCTTCCAGCTCTTCTGTCTCACGAGGATCTTGAGGATGGTGTAAAGTTATTGCTTCTGGCATACACAACCATTCACTCCGTCCTCGATCCTTTCTGGCGAGTGTTAAGTCGACCTAGCGACGTGCAGGTCGCTATCCAACAAATGTCGCGGATAAACTTCTGCTGCGGGCCAGGAGAAGCAATAAAAGCCATGCGCAAGAGAGTTGCAGGTTAAGGTGAAGATGAGGAATTGATTGACAATGAGGCTGAAGCGGGAAGAACGGTCTGAACGCGACGACTTCGTACCCGTGTTCTTCTAAATCCAAACCATGTCCACAAAATGATAATGAAGCAGAATGGCTCATCATGAAGTCACCATCGGCCAGGTCACAGATGACTGGACAGGCATGTCATGTCCTGGGCCTCTCATTCATCGTGGCAGATACTCAAGTAACGCAAGTTAAGGGCAGACTTCCAGGCCATAGCCTCCAACTGACAATCATCATCAACCCTTGTCTTCCAAGCCTGACACGCCTGTTCGTGCACACGGGATGAGTGTCACTGATCGATGTCTGCCCAGAGCTGGAATGCTCCTACAGGGCTATGCATTGTACCCCACGTTTCCAGTCAATCGAGGTCTTTCAGCTCCGATGTTGTATTCATTCTTCGTTAGACCATTTGTCGAGCCACGCGACAACATCTGACTTGTCCCCTTCCGTAGGCTTCCTCTCGGGCTCGTCTTCCCAGTCTAACAGCTTGTCGGTTCCCGACTTGTCCTTTGTTTTCCGGTTCACCACCTTGCCTTTTTTATCCATGTTGGTGCCAGTGGCAGTGTCGGCGGAGACTTCGGGAATCGTCTCCAGACTCCTGGTCTCGGTCCCCCGTATCACGTTTGGTCCAACTTTTGCCTTTTGCATATATGCTATCCGGGCTTGTTCGCCCTCTTGCAGCTCCTTCGGGCTCATCCACCACTTGAAGAATTCTTCAATCTTAGGCCTGGCCATGAAGTAAACGAGGACGATGAGGATCAGGTAGACATAATCTTGTTTGTCGAGTTGGCCTTTCTGCATGTAGCGTTGGATGGGGTTGAGACGCGACAGGTCTTCCGGAGCAGGTGTGTACTCGACCATGGTAAGGGATAGGCAGACGGTGCCTGCGATTATTGAGGTTCCTGGTTCTAATGGAGAAGAAGAGCAAAGACAGACAGCAGGCGACAAGGGCGAAAAGTAATGGTTTATTTACCACGCGCGTTATTTCTTTTCCTTTTGAATTTTGATCGAGGACCTTTTTAGAAAAAAAGCCGCTACTACGCGACTCCGCGGCAGCCGGAGGCAAGGGAACAAGGGACTGGCAACTCGTAACTCGTAACTCGTAAGTGCGCGGAACAGAAATGACGACGTGGCTCAGGCTCGGGCCAAGCCGCTCGTCACGGAAAGACCTTCAGCTTCCTTCGCATCCCGATCTTCCATTTCTGTTATCTGGTTGTCTAATGTGGCACACATCTACATCATCTCAGGTCAGGTTTGGAATGCTCTGTCATACGTGAAACGGGTGCAAATCTCAGGATCAGACAGATAAATCCTGCAGGAGGTGGTTTGCAGCGCACCCTCTTGAAAGAGAACCCCCCCTGGTTTGCCTCCCAACATCTGCCCTGGTTGGTATCACCAGCAAAACACAGAACACCCGTTGCACCAACTCCGCTAGGGTTCACTATATCGGAAAAACATTGTGGGACACTGTTATGGACAGGGGTGGTTTGGACCAAGAATCGTGAACGTCTCCTGTGTATATCCTGTCGTCAGCAAATATTCAAATCGCGGTTAGAACCGAGTATACACAGGCGGTCTCAGATGGAATTGAGTTGAATAATACCCCTTTGAAGATGGTCTCTATCCACACTGTTTGCAACACTGTTACAATGCGACTGGAGGCAACGGATGCACCTGCCCGAGCCACCGGGCCCAGCGCATCGGTGTGCGGTCCCAGAGACTGGCAATCTGCATGTCTAACAAACAATCCTTGCGTTTGAGTCGCTCAGGGTGTGTGGGAGATCTGGGGCGTTGGTTAGCATCCCGAGGACATGAGTTGCTTTATGAAAGAAATGCTCGCTCAAGCAAAGTGATCCCGTTGTCTTCGTCAGGTTTCCTCTGCTCGATCTCCTGACCATGTTGTCTCTTACCCTCCGCTGCAAAGAGCCCATTGCATTGCTTCTCCTCTTGATTCTGTTCCTGAGTAATCGTTTGGTCGCTGTCCAGATCACTGGTGCCCTGGGCGGCCTCAATTCGACCACAGGAGCACGACCTCTGCGATACGAGATCCATGACTTTGCAAATTCAGGCCCGGCTTTCGATTTGTTTATCCTCGCTCTGAAAGAGCTTCAAAGTGTTGACCAGTCAGAAGAGTTGTCTTACTTTCAAATCTCAGGTCACTGATTGTCGGCCATTGTTTGCACGGATGCTTACCAGAGGCAGGAATCCATGGGTTCCCTCGAATTCCTTGGGACGGTGTATCAGGCACTGGGAGCTATCCAGGATTCTGCACACATGCTGCAACCCCATTTCCGACCTGGCACCGACCTTATGTGGCACTATTTGAGGTACCTGGCCTTGCCCCTGTCATTACTTGTGGCCTTGTTGCTAACATCTACAGCAATTGATCTGGCAGCATGCGCAGGGTATTGCCAACGACTATCCCGATGATCAACGTGATGAATATTCGAGCGCCGCCGTCACTTTACGGGTTCCTTACTGGGACTGGGCAGTTTATCCAGCGCTGCCTGACGTGGTTGCGCAGCCTCAAATCTCCATCAACACTCCAACTGGGCGACAAACAATTGCCAATCCTCTCTACAATTATGTCTTCCAATCTGATGCCGTGGGCAATGGGTTTCCGCTTTCCGATCCGGTAGAGTTGATCCTGGTGCTCTTGTGAATCCTCGAGGATCTACTGACCGCGACGCACATACAGATGGCCAACTTTTCCGAGACTGTTCGCTGGTGGAGTTTGAACACAAAATCTAGCAATCAAAGCGCAGCCACTGCGGCGTTGCTGGCCAACGCTCCTGCGTGAGTCAATCCGTTCCCTCGAGCTGGCACGCTTTGACTCACGGTGTTCCAGGATCCAATCGCTGACATATCAAATGTTCACATCCCTGGCGAATTACACAGCATTCTCATGCACCTGGCCTGGTGGCCAATGGGTTACCGCGAACAATATTGAGTCCATTCACAACAGCATCCACAACAGCATAGGCGGATATGGTCACATGCAGTTTCCAGAAGTCGCGGGGTTTGATCCTGTCTTCTGGCTGCATCATGCCAACGTTGATCGTCTGTTTGCCATGTGGCAAGCGCTGCACCCGGACACCTACATCGAACCGACCGTGAATGCATATGGATCGTACTACGAGAATGTTGGGTTTGTCGACTCGGGAACAACCGGTTGGTGTCACCCAAAAGGCAAAAGATGTGGAAACTAACACCTAACAGCATTGGCACCATTTCATTCTGACGGTGGCAGCACGCTCTTCACATCGGATGACGTTCGAAGCACGAAAGTATTTGGCTACAGTTACCCGGAACTCCCAGACTGGGAGATGGGCTC